ATGGGCCAGTGGTGTGACTCAGCATTAGGCAGCTCTGGATTTTTCTATGCTTCCCAGAAGCATAAAAGCATGAGACTCTTAATTTCAGGGTTGTAGCTTCAAGTCCCATATTGTATAAAGGATTCCTGCCTTGCTGGCGGTTGGACTAGATTCCCTTCCCTTGTATTCCCTTCCCACTCTACAGTTCTATAATTCAAATCCATTTAGTGCATCTAGTGAGCAGGATTGGTGAGCAATGTCCTTCAGTAACATAGTGGGTTGTTTTTGTGTGTGTGCTTTTAATGGCAGCTTTCAGATTAAGCTGCAGGCGTCTTGCATAACCCATGGCCACTGGGTTCTCACCGCTGTTGGGAATCACAGGTGAAGAGAGTTCTCTTGCCCTCAGGCCCTGCTTGTGGGCTTCCCACAGGCATCTGGTTAGCCACTGTGAGAACGGGATGCCAGACTATATGGTCCCTTGTTCTGATCCATCCATGTTTTTCTTATGTTATGTTGTCCTTAGGGTACAGATGTTCCTCTTCCAACAAGCCTTCTGAAATCTTTATCCCAATTGGGCACCTGTCCAGAATATGAAATGGTTTCATGTATAGGGTTTTTATAAGGTTTTTATCTGCAGGGTTTTTTTTAACTGTTTATAGCTGCAACTGTTCCATACTTTGTCATTATCTTGTAAATCACTTTGAAATGGCTCATGGGGCATGGTCTATTAAATAAATGAATAAATGATCTTAGTGGCAGCAAAGAGTAGGGTGTCCTCCCAAGGTGCTGAGTCCCAGCTGCTGTCCAAGGATTCCCTCCACCACCACCACCCCATTTATTAGCAGTAACACATGTTTTAGCAAAGTGATCAATTTTTATTTGAGCAGGTTGATAGTTTCTGGGGCTTTCCGCACTGAATTTGTTGGGGATGCATGAAGTGGTGCAGAACTTATTTAAGGCAAGCTGAACACCCCCTCCCCCAAATAGTGCTGGCATTTACTGTAGCTTACATTTGTGAATCTATCTTGTAGTGTCAGTGAGATGTTTGCAACGGAGCTGAACTCTTAGTAAATCAGGCCTTCCAGAATTGATTGGGTAGAGGCCTGGGATTTCAAGGCACTTCTCCAGATAGGCTGGGGATAGAAATCAACTTGGACATGCTCTGTATATTTAAATTTTGGAGGACTGTGTGTAAAGATTTGTTTCTTTAGTCGCTTCTGAAAGATGTCAGGATCAATGTGGATTAGCACCAGAGACCTCCTGATCTGTTTTCTACTGTCCTATAGTGAGCCGCTTGAGAAGGAAAGTTAAAAGAGATTATCCTCCCTGATATCAGCACAGGGTCTCCTGACCAGGGATGGAGGAAGAATCTGTTTTAAACCCAAGTTATCAATTGCTGGAGAAAAGCATTGAAATGTTCAGAGAACGAATTCCAAAGGATGGATGTGTTTTACTTTGTGCATTCTTTTGAAATATGCAAGTTTTGTAAGTTCACCTTTGCATAAGAACTGCATTGGATTTCTCCCCCATCCCTACTCTGTACCACTGCTATTTACTGTAGCAGGAAACCCCTGGTTCAGATCTGACATTTGAGAGTAACTGATGGAATGATCTGAGGCACCACTTGCCGCATAGAGTTGATAACAATGACCTGCCTTGTAGGGATGTGGGTGGGTGTGCAAAGGAATTAATGTATGTCATGCACTATCCAAACACTAATTTGTTTCCCTGGAATCAAAATTTTCAAGTCGTTTGCATTATTTCACACATTAAGGCTTTGCTTTAAACATGTCTCTCATGGGAACATTGTCTTTCAAAGCCAGGGGAATCTTCAGAAAAACACTGGTGTGCGTACCTTTCCCTCCTTATCCTTTATCATTACAGTTGCACAGGTTATATTTGCAAATCCCCATTGACTTCGGTGACTTTGAGTGAGTACAATTTATGTTCTGTTATGATTAAGGACCTGCCAAATTATAGATCTTTGTTGCTTTATTTTCTCTTTCTTGCCTATCACAAAGCAGCAGTGATGAAGTTGCTCAACAATGACTGAAACCACTCATTTGCTAAAGAAAGAGGTTGCATATAAATACGTATTTCCATCATTATAATTTCTTTTGATTGCATTTACAGTTTCCCTTCACACAAAGAAAACAAACAGCAGCTGTTCAATGTGTATGTGTGTGTTTGCAGACACACTTACTTACCTGCTTACAAAACAGATAAAGAGCAAGAAGCTCCATTTTAAAGTGCTAATTTATTTATAAAACTATCCCTACCTTTCTGAGATTCTCAAGGCAGTGGATGACCATCATGAACACAATACTGATTAAAAGGTTAAATAATAAGAACTGTCATACCAACATCAATGAGAAGAATAAATAAGGAAATGTATGTCATGTTCTCCCCAAAATCAGAGGCAGTAATGATTCTGAATACCAATTGTTGGAAACTGCAGGAGGGGAGAATGCTCAGATCCTGTTTGCAAGTTTCTCACAGGTTGGCCACTCTGAGAACAGATTGCTGAAATAGATGGACCATTGACCTGACCCAGCAGACTCTTCTGATGTTCTTATATTCCCAGAAAACCTAACAAAACACTCATGTGAAAATATTGCAGAGTTGAGCACTGTTGTTTTTTGAGAGGGAATCAGCTTCCCTGAGATGAAGAATTCCAAAGACTGGACCCTTCTACTGAGAAATGCCTACCCTTGTAGGTGCTGGGCCAGAGGTCACCAACATGGTATCTGACCACCAGTTTCTCTTACTTTGCCCATGAAAGGTCTCGGTAAATACTTCCCCCACCTGAGAAACAACCTATGATAAACTAGAGACTATTTGTTCTGTCTACTCAGATCCTGTTTTCACTGGCTCAGCCCCTCACAGGTTTGAATATTCCCCCTTAAACATGCCCGCATTTCATTGGATCTCAGGATTGGATACCTACTCTCCCTCTTTTCCATTTGAAACAGATTGGAGGTGGCAATAGCTTCTTTCTAGTGAGCAAGCTGATGTGGGTGCCTCCCCCCCCCCCATTGATGAGAAGGAGGACATGTCTGCACCATTTTATGGCTCTTTCTCTTTTTCTGCTCCATTAGATATGGCAGCCATTGTGACACATCCTTGCGGCGGCCATCTTGTGAGGCATTGCACCCCACAGAGCAGGCATTTTGAATGGCGCTTACAGCACTTTCTCAACATTACTCCTGTGCCCATTGGCTTAGAAGGGTTGATGGCTTCCAGAGAAGGGACACTTGAAAATGTTGATGTGATTCATTTTTCTTAATAATAATAATAATAATAATAAAGGTTTTGCCCAGCTGGAACATATTATTGACCTCTTGTTTGACAGGATGGTGGATAGAGCTGTGTGTAGGGAGAGCAACCGGCTTACTATACAAAGGTAAAATGTACATTAATTGCACTTTTGCCTCTGTCCCTGCCTACTAGTGGCATGTCTTTCTCAGAAGGCTGAACCAAAATGAATGCAGTCCTTAAACTGAAGAAATTTATCCACCCTGCCCTTGGTCAGCAGGGGTTGAGCCTTGGAACTCTTGCCAACTCCAATGCCAGAGGCAAAACGCGTGTCACTGGGGATCTGTGGCATTAACTGAACTTGTTCATTTACAGACTGTGGTGGATATTAAGGGCCTTGCTCCACAATCCTCTACTAATACTGGGGTAGTGTTCAGATGTTACAATATCGCCCCCCCCCCCATATTTTCTCACCTAAGTACTATACTTACAAAAAGGGAAGAAACCTCTGAAATGCGCACACCAAACACATGAGGCAATTCCCTCTACTAAGGAAGCAAATTTATTTTCATTTTGCTTAAAATAAAGGAAAAACAAACACAACTTGCTCTGCTTCCTACAGGAGGAATAAAATCCCTTGGAATATCTTAAAACATTAACTATGTTTAAGGGAGTAAATGAAATGAAATGGTTTACTGTGTGCTGAATCAATCAGAATTAAATTTCATTTACAGATGGCAGTTGGGTGGTGGTTGGTTTTTTTATTATTAAAAAAATGCATAGCAACTTTTACTACCTTTGCTATTGAGAGTGTGTGTGTGTGTGTGTGTGTGTGTGTGTTTGCTGTGTTACCTGTGTTTAATGAAATGAGGTAGGCATCTTGTGTGGGTTTATTTGTGAATTTGAATTCCAAATGAGGTGAAGATTGAATTTCCCCAGCCTAGCTGTAGGAGGAGTTAGCTTTTTCAATATGAGCTAGGTGGCAGAATTGACTAAGAATGTGGTGCTCAGCAATTCTGATTTTTTTATTTTATTTTTTTGGATTGCCAGCTTGTTCGGTGAGTCACATAAAGTGCGGCACAAAGTAACATTCTATTTTTGGTGAAGTGGGAGATGCCGGAGGTGGGTGGGTGGGTGAGGTGTGAGAGAGAAATGTTCCTTCATTTGATTTGAAAGTATTTTAGAGCAATACCTTTTAAGCAGCTGGGTCTTAATTTGTGAAGAGCGATAAGCTGTTGATGAGGTTAGGGAATCCCAAGATTCTGTCTCGGTTTTCCCATCCAGCATAATTATTTAAGAGCTCTCAGTCTGTGTTTTACCATCTGTAAGGCTTACATAATAATTTGTTATGAAGAGGCTACATGAGCAATCGAATGGTAAGTTCTCTAGAACGTGCCCCATGGAAATAAACATCAGCTGCATGAGAGCATGTGCTGATGACTACTGTTGTTTCTTAGCTTTCTATATACCACCTTCATTCCATCACAGAATCCTAGGAGTTGTCTGACTGTCAAAGGACTGGATTAGGGAAAACAAAATGAATGGTTGGGGGAAGGCTGAATAGTTGGGGGAAGCTCAGTGGTAAATTATTGGCTCTGCCTGCTGAAACTCCCAGTATCTCATACCCTGGAATCTACAGATAAGGCTAGGAAAGACTCCTTCCTGAAACTATGGAGTGCTGCTGCCAGCCAGTGTTGACACTACTGAGCCAAATGGACCAATAGTCTGATTACGTGTAAGGCAGCTTCATATATTCCTAATGAGAAGGACCACAGATCAGTGGTAGAACATCAGCCTTGCATGCAAAATGTCTCAGGTTCAATCCCTGGCATCTCCAGGTAGAGTCAGTGTTCCAGGAGTCAGCAAACATTTTCAGCAGGGGGCCGGTCCACTGTCCCTCAGACCTTCTGGGGGGCCAGACTATATTTTTTTTTGGGGGGGATGAACGAATTCCTATGCCCCACAAGTAACCCAGAGATGCATTTTAACTAAAAGCACACATTCTACTCGTGTAAAAACATGCTGATTCCTGGACCATCCGTGGGCCGGATTTAGAAGGCAATTGGGCTGGATCCGATCCCCAGGCCTTAGTTTGCCTACACATGTTTAGACAACAGTGAGGTAGATGAACCAATTACCTGACTTGGTATAAGGCATCTTCTTGTATTCCTAACATGAATCTAGGCAATAAAGAGTATTTTCTGGTCAGTCAAATGGTTAATTTGAAAATAGGAGTTCAATCAGTCTTGGATGGGAAATGGGTTCCCTTGGAAACTAGAGTTCACAGTTAGGGTGTAGTCCTGGGCTCACCACTAGGTATGTTAGTGCAATTAAGTACTACTCAGAGTTAGACCTACTGAAATTAATTAATCAACCGAAGTTAATTGTGTCCATCCATTTCAACGGGCATACTCAGGGTAGGACTAACATTGGATGCAACTAAGCCTGGAGGCTCAGGTGATTATTTATAAACTGCTTAATGCCAAAATAGGCTTCTAAAATGAAGATGGGGTGTTGCTTTTACATTATTTATTTACAATTTAAATGTGACACATTTAAAAATGCTTTAAAAAATGAAGAAGAAAAAATAAAAAGGGGGAAAAATGTTCTTGTGGCATTCTTGTGGGGAGGGAGCATTTTGAGAGCTGCTCAGCAACCCAGGTGGCTGGTGCAGGGGCCTCCAGTTCTGGGGCAGGATGTCCAGATCCATTTCCTCAGGGTCGCTGCAAGTGTAGAGATATGCTGGAGGATCCTGTTCTCCCTCCAGGATGCTGGAGTAGATAGGCCACTGGCTTGGTCCAGAAGAGCTGTTCTTATATTTTTTTTATGACTGATGAATGATAGAGGTGTATAATTTAGTAAGCAGCTCAGGAGAGCAAATGGAAGGTATATCCCAGATCACTTTGATTCTCCCTTAACATGGAGAAATCCCTACACAATATGACATCAACAGGATATGTTTCAGCCAATATGTGTCAGCCAATGTGTTGCCTTCTAGATGTTGTTGGAGGTCAATTTCCATCAGCTCCAGACAGCATGGCCAGTAGTCAAGGATGGTGGGAGTTTCTCTCCCAAACATCTGGGTGGTACCACATTGGCTGCCCCTGCATCACACATTCTAGGAAAGGGGAGTTTGTCAAGGGCTATAGTTTTCATTGTTTTTTGTAATGTGAAGTTGCACCCATAAAGTGAAGAAGTGTGAACTGAATGTGTTAGAGTAAAACAGGGTTAGTGGATGAGATGCCATCCATATGTTGTGGGATCTAACCCCCATCAGATGCAGTCACCATGGCCAAATCTTCAGGGATGGTGGCAATTGTGGATGCAAAATATCTGAGGGGCACAACGTGGGCTACCCTTGGAGTTAAAAATGCAGCATACTGCATCTCACCGTTTAATTCAAGTAAAATGAAAGTGAATTTTCAGATGTGTCATTTTCAGTTTCAAATAGACTTTATATTAAAAAGAAACCAGCAAAACAAAAAAAAACCAATTTCTAGTATGTGGCCCATGTTAAAAGGGAGAGTGGAGGTGCGGACAAAACCACTATAAATATTTCATTCCATTTTCAGTGGGAAATACACAAATTCCATTGCTTTTGAAATGCACTTATTTAATGCAGTCTGGCAAGAACTAAACACCAAACCTGATTCTGTACCTACTGGATTAGATTAGAATTGGCTTGTGTTCCATCTCTGATGCCCAAAGTGCTGGGGAAATATATTGGAAGCGCAGAGAAATAAGAAATACAATTTTTAAAATGGCAACCATTAGATACCCAGCACTGACTCAGTCACAGCTGGACACATCTCCAATGGGATAAGAGAGTTGGGCAAAACTCCGCTTGGTTATTGGTCTTTATTCTCTTTGAAAAGTTACCAACTAAAACTCAAAGCTGATTTGAATTAATGTAACTGTCAGAGCTACCAGTGGGCTTGAACTCTGGGCCTTCCAGGATCTGACCTGGAGGCTCACTCCTCAAGGAATTATATACCTTTTGGAAACCATAGACCAGGGGTCAGCAAACTTTTTCAACAGGGGGCCGGTCTACTGTCCCTCAGACCTTGTGGGGGGCCAGACTATATTTTGAAAAAACAACGAACAAATTCCTATGCCCCACAAATAACCCAGAGATGCATTTTAAATAAAAGCACACATTCTACTCATGTAAAAACACGCTGATCCTTGGACCGTCCATGGGCCAGATTTAGAAGGCGATTGGGCTGTATTCGGCCCCTGGGTCTTAGTTTGCCTACCCATGCCATAGACCATGTGTGGGGAACATCTAACCCTCCAAATGTTGCTGAACTATAACTCCCTTCAGCCCTAACAAAAATGGCCTGTGACCAGGTATTATAGGAACTGTAATTCAGCAACTTCTGGAGGGCCAAAGGTTTCTCCCACTTCTCACAGACACTCAAAGAATCAAGGAGCTGTTCCTCCTGCTTCCTTTGTCTCTTCCCTCTATAACTGGTCATTGGCATTTCCTATCTCTTGATCTGATAAACTCTCCCTCCCTTTCAAGCAGTGTGGCCACTTAGAAACACCCACCCACCCACCCACCCCTCAAAGCAGAAAAGCGGATGCAAAATTGTATAACAAATTCATTTGTGTACATTTAAATGTAGACTTTGTGTGAGGTCTAATTGCATCTACTCGCTTGCACAAAAGGAATTCTGCTAGCCTGATGGGACTTTAGATTCTCCCCTCCAGCACCTGCCCACCACAAATCTGCTGTGGCAATTCCTCCAACTTTCCTATGACAGTCATTACAATAGAGGACTGCTCCCTTTGAATATAGGACACATGGCCAGCCACCTAGAAATAGATGCAGTTATGTAGTATGTTAAGGTATGAGAGCAGTAAGCAACCTTTCAGCTTGTTACTGGAGCAGGCTATCATGACAGATGGGAGACATGAGGACTGGTTTCCTAGCAGGGCCTAAATCTGCAGATGCCTCAAGGCTACATCAACACACTTATTGGTAAGAGATGCTTTGTGAAATCCCCAACCCGACTCCCTACCATCGTGACCCAGTTCTTCTGAGTTTACTAATTTGGATAACAAGACTATAAATAATAATTCAGAGTCTTGGTTTATCGTTAGCAGCGGTAGGCTATTATGATTTTCCTTGGCAGCCCATATGGCGGGTGATAAACTAACTAATAAAACTGCCAAATGGACCACAGGTCCGCTTTTATGTTTTTATGACTCTTTCCTTCGTCTGAAGCATAATTAATATGCAGGGTTCAAAAATGTTTTCTGTCTGGGATTCCTCTGTGGCATGGTGCATTTGGAGCTGTGAATGTTATTTGGAAGCAATCTTCTTTAGTTTTTCATTAAGAAAAAACAGACACTGAAGCATGACAGAGAGTCTCTTTTAACAACAGCAGCAGCAACAACATTGAGAACAATATGGCCAGTCCTCCCATCCTCCCGTTTTCCTGAACTCTCTGTTTAATATAGGGATGGGAGAAAAATCTGTAAATAGAAGGCATCCAGGTTTCTGGAGTGCCCAAGATCCTTTTTTAGGATTGTATCTTATGTTAGCTCACAAAACATTGGGTACAATCGTCCATACCCTTTTGCAAAATTTTCCAAGGCTAAGTTGTTCTGTTGATCTTACCAGCATACTTTGGGGGCTGGGAGAGTGCTAGTGATAAACCCCCCACCATCCCGTACTACCTGCTTTCCTCTGGTGCTGCCATGACCACTCCACCTGGATGCTCTCCACTAGGGATGAGTGGTGGTGCTTTGGAATAGGAGCTAAATTTATTTCCCATCTGGCCACCACCTGAAGTTACCCAAAAGTCTTGCCCCAGAGACCGATGAATGCCAGTTGTTGTGAATCACAAATGGGGACAGACTGCTGTTGTGCTTAGAGCCTTCTTTCTTGATTTCCATGGGTATCTGGTTGACCACTGTGAGAACAGAATGTTGGCCGTGATGGGCTTTTGGCCTGAACCAGCAGAGATCGTCTTACAATCGGTTTTAAAATCTATACACCCCACTGTAATTGAACTGTGCATCTATGCAGTCAATAAATGTCATAGGTCTATTTGTTTATTTTATTTTATTTTTGCATGGGTGGCCACTGCAAATGGAAGCTGAGCTTGAATACCATTCAAAAGGAGCACCAGTCCCAGCCACTAAAAAGCATCAGGGGGCACAGTGGGGAAGGCAATGAATGGGAGTGTGACTGGTTTGGTGAGGGGGCCTTCCAAGTCCTTGAGGACCTTAGTCAGTAACCAATATGGCAGACCACTGATGCCAAGTAGTCAGTGACCAATATGGCAGGCCACTGGTGCCAAGCCTGATTGCAAGTGCTGCTACTTGATCTGTTGGAAATTCTAGAATGTCTTCATTACATCCTTATTTTCTGAATAAGGAAAAAGTGGAGGAATAAATAAGCTGTTCTTTCTTGAACTGATTTACTAGATACAAAATTTCATGCAAGGTTGTGCCAAACGGAGACTACTTAATTATTTCAATTACTTTGTTCCCTGAAAAAATGCTGCAGTCTCAGGGCTTTTCTTAATATATAATGTAATGAATGCAGACAACTGGCAGGTAACTGATCTGTTTTCCAAGCTGAATGCTTAAGTGCTTTGCATATAAGCAGTGCAACTCATGTAGAATGCATGATTTTACATATTAATAACCCCCCCTTTAAAAAAACAAAGGTGTCAATGAGACTAGAATTCAATAACACTAGATGTGTTGACGGCTGCTAGCTTATATGGCAGTACAAACTAATGAATAGATGAATTCATGAACAATGTTTCTACCAAGGAGTGTTAGCCACGGTAGCTGATATGGAACCTGGTCTTGTATCTT